GAAGTTTTGGGATTAATGACAGTGGTAGAGATTTCAAGACAGCCCAGTATTGGCTATGCCACATGGTTATTAGTGATGATTATGCAGATCTACAATGAAAAAGAGAAAATAGGGCAAAAAAAATGTATAGTTTGAGAAAAAGAACACCAGGAAATTTTAATGTTGGAGTCAAATACTGTGTTCAAAGAGATGAGAAATCTAAGGAAAGGTTTTAGGAGAAATAGAATAGAGTGGTGCCCTGTGGTAATTTCAATTGGCCGCCATAATCTCATAGGGAGTGGCACTATGAGAAGGTGTGGCTTTGTTGGAGGAAGTGTGCCACTGTGAGGGTGGGTTTTGAGGTTTCCTATGCTCAGGATATTGCTGTGTCTCAGTCAACTTCCTGTTGCCTGCAAGTAGAGATGTAGCCAGCACCAATTCTGCCCTGAAGGCTTCCAAGCTCCTGGAACTAAACCTCTTCTGAAACTCTAAGCAAGTCACCCCAATTAAGTGTTTCCTTCCTTTGTGAGAGTTGTCATGATCACTGTGTCTCTTCACAGAAACAGAAACCCTAACTAAGACAAGCCCCCAGGGCAAAACCCCCCACCCAGCTCAGCTTCCAACTTGTTACTCAACAAAAGAAAGCACCAAGTCAAAGTCTACGCAAATGTAATTCAGGGATGAGGGCAGGTTCCAGCCTGGCAGCAGAACTTGACAGCTTTAGTGCAGTGTTCTGGCTTCTTCAACAAAATACAGGAGCTGTAGGAAGGGGCTTCCTGAGGTCCAGAAAGTTTAAAGTTACAAAAGTAAGCTTGGATTGTGTTGAAGACCCCAAGATGTTAAATATGTAAGAGCCATGGGATATCTGCTAAGAAGAGTTGCACACAGGATGTGGAACCAGCTCCAAAGACAGAAATTTCTTGCAGTCAACAAAGATGAAAAGAGTGGGAGATCTAAAGAGCTCTGTGACATCAAACACGTTTGGATTTGGAGTTTGCCCTTCTGGGTTCCAATTTTTCCTTGGTCAGTATTCCCTCACATCCCTATGTATATTCTGTGCCACTGTATGTTGAAAATATGTAATTTACTGTATGTATCTTGATTTTACAGGGTGCTACAGTTAAGACATTGCCTTGAATCTAAAAGAGACTTTGAACTTGGGGGTATTTTAGTGTTAAGGGTGTAAAGAACTATAGAGAGTTTTGAAGTTAGACTATAGCACATTGTCATTATGATATGGCAACAGGCCTATGGGAGGGGCAGGAAGTGGAATCTGGTGGTTTGGATAAGAATAGTCTCCATGGGTTCATATATTTAAATGTTTGGTTCCCAGTTCAGGTACTGTTTAGGAATGAATTGGTGTGACCTTGTTGAAGTATGTTACTAGAGGTAGGTTCTGGGGTTTCAATAGCCCATGCCAGGCCCAGTCTCTCGTCAGCTCTTGCTTGTGGATCAAACATAAGTTCTCAGCTACTGCTCCAACATCATGCTTGTCTGTCTGCTAGCATGCTCCCCAACATGATGATCATGAATGGATGCCATGAAACTGTTAAGCAAGGTCCCAATTAAATGTTTTTTTCTCTTACAAGCTGATTTTTGTCATGGTGTCTATTCATAGAAATAAGAGTGGTAACTAAGTTACTACCTAAGGAAGACTAATCAACTGACAAATGGAGTACTTTCCCCGCTTATATGCTCAAAGACATCAAATCTTTAAATACCTCTCTTTTCTTCCCAGGAATTTTTCCTTGTTATCAACATAATTTTTCTTGGCATGGACATATGAACATATCGTTATCCCTCCTCCCTCTTTTTAAATCTTAGACTACTAGAGAGATGGCCTAGTGGTTAAAACGGTTTATTGCTCTTGAGCAGTTTGGCTCCAGCACTCACATCAAGCTGCTTACAACTGCTTATTGTAAATCCAACTCCAGGGAATTCCACACCATCCTCTGGCCTCCAGACACAGATATGCTTAGATACACATAAATAAAGTCTCTTAAAATTTATCTTATAACCAAGCAGTAGTGGCATACTCCTTTAATTCCAGCAACCAGGAGGCAGAGACAGGCAGACCTCTGAGTTCCAGGAGAGCCAGGACTACAAAGAAAAACCCTGTCCCAAAAAACAAAAACAGAAAAAATTATCTTCTGATAAGATTAGTATCTGACAAAGTAGATGTCAACATAAAGCAAGAAGAGCTAAAGAGGAGAAGACAAAGATGATGAAATATTCTTATTACTAGAGATAGAGGAAAAATACTTTATAACAAAGTTATAAATTCAGTGATAGGGATGTAGCTCAGTAGGCAGACTGTTTGCCTAGCATGCAGGAAGCCCTGGGTTTGATTCCTAGTACCACAGATACCAGACTTGGCATGACACGCCTACAATCCCAACACTGAAGTAGAGAAAAGAAAGTCAGTAATTCAAGGTCCTCTTGAACTACATATAAAGTCTGAGGCCAGACTAGGTCAAATAAAACTAGTCTAAAAAAGAAAATAAATTTAAAAAGCCAATCCATTAACAAGACACAAGTGCCAACCTAAGGATTATTAGAGCAGTGGTTCTCAACCTTCCTAATGCTGCAATCCTTTAATACAGTTACAGTAACACAATTACTATCATAAAATTGCGATTTTTTAAACAATCTTTTTTTAAAAACTTATTTATTTTATGTGCATTAGTGTGAGGGTGTCAGAACTCGTGGAACTAGAGTTAAACAGTTGTGAGCTGCCATGTGGGTGCTGGGAATTAAACCCAGGTCCTCTGGAAGAGCAGCCAGTGCTCTTAACCACTGGGTCATCTCTCCAGCCCCATAAAATTTTTTTTGTTTCTACTTCATAACTGTAATTTTGCTACTGTTGTGAATTATAGTGTAAATATGACACCCAGGATATCTGATATTCTACCCCTGTGAAATGGTCATTCAGCCCCAAAAGAGGCTGCAACTCGTAAGTTGAGAACCACTGACTAGAGGATGTAGCTCAGCAACAGGGATACAAATTATTAAGAGGTTAACATGGGGTTGAAGAGATGGCTCAGCAGCAGTTTTTGTTGCAGAGGACCTAGGTTAGGTTCCCAGCACCTACATAGTAGCTCACAGCCATCTATTTCAGGAGACCTGACCCTCTCTTCTGATCTCCAAAGGCACCAGGCACACATATAATGCACACTAGAGCTCTTTGGAGAAATGTCAATTCCAGGTATATGAAGACCTGAATTTGGAGTCTAGAGCCCTCAAAACAAGTGAGTGTGGTCTCTCATGTACCTGTAACCTCAGTGTTGTGGACAACGGGGACAGGAAGATAACTGGGCTTGCCGGCTGCCAACCTAGCAGAAAAAAAAATGAGAGTTCCATACATAGGGAGAGACTCAGCCTCAAAGGAATAAATTGGAGAGTGGTAAGAACAGTCAATAAACATCCTCCATGTGCATCCATAGACACACATGTGCATATGCTAGAAACACATAAAGCCTTCTGATCATACTGCACTACACATATGAAAATAGCAAAAAACATAATAAAAAATCAAAATCAATGTTGGCAAGGATATGGACAAATTGATCACTATTTGTAGTATGTAAAATGGTACAGTAGTAGCATCCAGGCATTGTGCCTTTAATCCCCCCAGCACTCGGGAGGCAGAGGCAGGTGGATCTCTGTGAGTTTAAGGCCAGCCTAGTCTACAGAGCTACACAGAGAAACCCTGACTCGAAAAATCAAAAAACAAACAAAACAACAACAACAACAACAAAAAACCCAGTATGGCAGTTTCTTTAAAAATCACAAACACAACTGGGCTACTATAGTGGCACATGCCATTAATCCCAGCACTCTGAATTCGAGGCCAGTCTGGTCTACAGAGTTCCCAAATAGAAAAACCCTGTCTCAAAAAGAATAGCAACTACTGAGTATTTCCTACATTTCAAGTGAATTTGTTCATTAACTAAAGATGAGTACTATTAACTACATTGTAGAGAGGAGGAAATTGAGGTATGGAAAGCAATGTAACAAGGACTCAAACGTGTATTTTTTTCTACTTAAGCATATGATTTTAGTAAACTTAGCTTTGCCACAAACTAATTTTGAAACATTGAAAAAATTCCATGGGTACTCGGTTTCTACATTTAGCCTGGGGCAATGATTTTCTATTGTTGGTCTTTACGGATGTCTTTTCCAAACATTTCATACAAATGGAATCATACACTGTGGTGACTTTTCCTGGCTTCTTTTACTTATCATATTCTGAGGTTTCTCCACATTGTGGCAGGCATCAGGACTTCATTCCTTTTTCTATCAGATTCCACTGAATAGCTATAGCATACTCTATCTGTTGGTAAACTGGTGTTTTATCTGAGTTGTTTACACAACTTGGTCTTTATGAATAATACACCTATTGAGTACTCATGTGTTTTTAGATGAACAACATCTTCACTTCTCTTTAACAGACACCTAATAGAACTGCTGGTTCATATATGTAATTTATGCTTTTTTGTCCTTTTTTTTATTGTGTATACAGCCTTCTGCCTGCAGGCCAGCAGAGGGTACCAGATCTCATTCAAGGTGGTTGTGAGCCACCATGTGGTTGCCGGGAATTGAACTCAGGACCTCTGTTAGAACAGTCAGTGCTCTTAACCGCTGAGCCATCTCTCCAGCCCCTGCTTTTTTGTCTTTTAAAGATCTAGCAAGCTAAAGTTATTATTTTAGATACCACTAATACATGATTCCCCCCCCCACATCCTCGCCAACACCTTATTGCCTATCATTTTCAACAGCAAGAAAGTAAACTTCTTTAAGAAGCTGAGACTACATGTACCTGTGCCTTTCTGCCACAGTATCTTTCCCATGTGTTAAACTGCTGTCTTCCACCTACCCATTCCACAGCATAAACTCAATGTTCACAAATGCAGGAAATGCCAGTTATATAATTATTCTTAAAATAAAATTTTATTTCAAAATTTAAAAGGCTATGTTATATACATAGCATACATAAAATCATTCTGAAATTTCATACGTACCTAATTTCAGTTCGATCGCTGTGTTGGTGTTACATTTGTACTCGGCCAATTTCTTCTCCACTGCACTTTTATATTCTACCAGAAATTTCTCCATTGCACCAAATCCTAGAAGAAGTTTTGAAAGTTTGGTTGAAAGTGATTCAAATACCTACAAGCAGAATTTTTATTGAAGTGGGCTAAGGATAAGACAGAAAACATGCTTCAACAGTGCAGGTGACTTTCCATGAACCCTTCAATAAATACACTGCATATGAATGCCTCATAAAACAGAAAACAAACCCACTCTTGAGCCAGGCCTGCAATTCATGCAGGAGGCTAACACAGAAATGAACTGGAGGCCAGTGTACCCTGCATAATGGCAACAAAACCTATTTTAAGAAACCGGTTATAGAAATTACCTACAAGTGTGTACTGCATCAGCCCCATTTCCCATTCAATAACCCGGGCTAAGGAAGAGGATTAATTGAAGGGCACCAAACTAGGAAATGGTGGAGACTCAAATTTGATTTTTTGATGTAATTTTCATTATACAGTAACTCTTTTATGGTACCAGAGTAATCCAATACCCTACTAGACAACTTCATCTTAAACACATGCAAATTTCAAACTACACAGTTTGATGATCCAGCCCATCTATAAAAGCGGAGCGTTTAACTCGTAGTGATGACACAATGTGAAGGGACTAGGGGGCAGTTACAAAAGAAAATGCCCACCGCTTCAAAAGATAGGTAACGGTAAAAAAGAAACACATCAAAACACTTCAATAGCAATTTACTTTTGTTTTTTTGTTTTGAGACAGGGTTTCACCGAGTAGCCCTGGCTGTCCTGGAAATCATTCTGTAGACCAGGCTGACCGCAAACTCACAGAGTTCGTCCTGCCTCTGCCTCCTGAGTATTGGCATCAAAGGGGTGAACCAGCAGGGCCCGGCAATTTAAACATTCTTAAACACTGAAAACTAAAAGACTCAAATGAATGAACCAGAACAAGAGAATACCAACAACGACATACAGAAGTCTCACACTTTTTAAAAAAGAAGTTCGGCAGTACAGAAACGTCCTTCTCAAAAAAATTATCTCAGTAATCCTGCAGGTTAACAGACCCAGAGTGTGCCCGGGAACAGGTCGGTGCGGCAGTGCGCTCGCACACAAGCTGACCGTGGGGAAGGTGGGCAGGGCCGTGGGAGGATCAGCAGGCGGGAAACCGACCCGATGACTACATTAAGACAGCAGTGGGCAAAATGAGAGAAACAGGGCCCGATGCAGACCGGGCTCCACCAGACGGAACGGCACGCTCTGCCCCGGGTTCGCGTACCCTCGGCAGGGCCCGGTAGCCCACGGAGGGCGCGGAGCGCAAGCACGGGGGGCGGCGGCGCCGAGCGCGGCCCACCGTTGCCAGCCTCCGACGCTCGGTGCCTCGCGGCAGGGAGAGGCCTTCTGGAACTTCGGCTAGAGCTCGAAAGTTCCAGGCGGCCACTGTAACAGCCGCCTCGACGTTCTTCCCCAGAACCACCCGCCTCCTCCCCTCGCTAAACTTTTCCCGGGAACTTACCCGCCATTTCCGAGCTGTGAGCGCCCGCGGCTGAGGAAGGACAAATCAACCCGCGCGCTCCCGGGCCGGAAGTGACCGCAATGATGACGCATTTCCCCCGCCCAACCTCGGGGAGGCACGAGCCAATGAGAGGAGGCAGTTCTGGGAGCGAGGTGGCGGAAGTGCCTCGGGAGGCGGGGCTAGTCCCGTGAGAAGGCGCGAGCGGTTGCCTAGCCACCGCGAGTGTGGAGAGTCCCACTGCTCGCCTTCCGCGCCTGGCCGACCTCGTGCAGCTTGTTGGCTGCTGGAGACATTCATGGGAATTAACGTTAATTTTTCAGACAGCCTACGGCGGGTTTTCTACCTCGCAGAGGTTGGACATCCCTCCCTTTCACCCGTTTCACTCCGAAGTTTTGGTTTGGTTTGGGTTTTTCGAGACAAGGTTTCTCTGTATAGCTTTGGAGCCTATCTTGGAACTCCCTCTGTAGACCAGGCTGGCCTCGAACTCACAGAGATCCACCTGCCTCTGCCTCCCGAGTGCTGGAGTTAAAGATGCGTGCCACCACCGCCCCGCTCATTCCGAAGTTACAAGCTTTGTTTCTACTTTTGCCATAACCCATTTTAAATCGTTTTCTCTGTGTATTGGATTCGTGTTTTGGAGCTGGGTATCCAGCCCAGAGTCATGCTTACGCTGGGCAAAACACTTTGCCACTGCTCCATAATAAACTTCGTGATTTCAATATGATAAACAGTGCCATAGTAAAGAACTCAAAGTGGGTGGTAGTGCCGTACTCCTTTAAACCACGCACTTGGGAGGCAGAAGCAAGCCTGTTTCAGTGAGTTCCAGGCCTGCCTGGTCTACAGAGCAAGTTCCAGAACAGCCAGGGCTACGAAGAGAAACCCTAAACAACAACAAAAAGATTTGCTACCTTGGCTTATGTGGTACAATTGAAGAGGTTATATCACTGCAAAGGCCTGGTGATTATCAGTCCACAGAACTAGGAGCCTCAGCCCCTGAAGACCTGAGGGATTCCAGGAGAGCTGCTGCTTCTCTGCCTATGGAAAAAGCTGGTTCTAACATCTGCTCTGAAATCAGCAGCAGCACCAACAGCATCAACAAACTCACCAGCAAGAGGGAAGGTTATGGGGCTGGAGAGATGGCTCAGAGGTTAAGAGCACTGACTGCTCTTCCAGAGGTCATGAGTTCAATTCCCAGCAACCACATGGTGGCTCACAACCATCTGTAATGAGATCTGGTGCCCTCTTCTGATGTGTAGACATACATGGGGGCAGGGTGTTGTGTTCGTAATAAATAAATAAATCTTAAAAAAAAAGAGGGGAGGTTATGAAGGCAAAACAGCAAGGCTTTCCTTCTTTTGCCTGGGCCACTAGCAAGAGATGCTACCAACGGTTAGGGTGGGTCTTCTCACATCAATAAAGGTAATCAAGACAATACCCAGCAGACAGACAGATAGATAGATAGATAGATAGGTAGATAGATAGATAGGTAGATAGGTAGATAGATAGATAGATAGATAGGTAGATGGATAGATAGGTAGGTAGATAGATAGATAGATATAGATATATAGTTATATATATATGGGGATGGGGTGTTGAGGAATCAATCATGGTTTCAGATTTGTTACAGTTAAAACAGTTTTTTTACAAGAATTATAATTGCTGATTTACAGATAAGATTTGAAAAATGATGAATCTTGCCATTTTTGAAAACATATTTTAAAGATTGGTTGTAAAAAGAAGCCTTCCCGCCAGCCTGGTTCCAGAGCCGCATCAGTCCCAAATAAACACACAGGAGGCTATATTAATTATGAAGCTGTTGGCCTTGCTTGTTTCTTACTAGCTAGCTCTGACTTAAGTATTTATCCCATAATTGTTAATCTAAGTATTTCTCTTACCGGAGAAGTTTCCGGGCTTCTTATCCCTATAGCGGTTACATCTCGACTCCTGTGTTTCTCCTACCCAGAGTACTCCTGGACTCCTAGTCCCACCTATCTTGCTTCCCTATTGGCCAACAGTGCTTTATTGACATATACACAGGACTTCCCCCATCAATTGTTTTTTTCTTTTTTCCTCTAAAAATGATATTTATTTCTCTGTGTGTGTGTGTGTGTGTGTGTGTGTGAGAGAGAGAGAGAGAGAGAGAGAGAGAGAGAGAGAGAGAGAGCGCAAGGTCAGAGGACAACTTTCAGGAGTGTTATCCCTCTTTCCACTCTGTGGGTCCTGGGGATCAAACTCAGATTGTCAGGCATGGCAGCAGGTCCCTACCTTACCTGCTGAGCCATCTCATGGGTCCTGTCTCCTCTTTCTGATCTATCATTGGTAGCCTTGACTTCAGCGGTCTGTCTCAACATCATGACTGTAATCTTATATGTAATTAAGAGGCTAAGGAAAAGGATCTGTGTTCTCGAAACCTTTTCTGATCTTTATCTTCAGGAAGGACATCTCTGTATAGCTAACAAGTAAATACAAGGCCTGAGTTTCTGGAGAAGTGGGTTCTTCCAGAGACTGTAGATAACTGAAGATGAACTTGGCAATTTCCCTTCCTTGGGCTGATTCTTTTTCTTTCCCTTCCTTCTTTGTCCACCCCTTTCTCTTTTGGTTTTTCAAGACAGGGTCTCTCTGTGCAGCCCTGGCTGTCCTAGATTTCTCTCTCTCTCTCTCTCTCTCTCTCTCTCTCTCTCTCTCTCTCTCTCTCTCTCTCTCTCTCTCTCTCTTTCTTTCTTTTCCTTTTTTGCTAAGACAGGCCCTCACACAGCCCAGCTGGCTTCAAGCCTCTGTGGCTAAGAGTTGGATGAGTTCCTGCTTCCACCTCCCAAGTGCAGAGTTACAGGTGTGTGTCACTTTGCCCAGCTAGACTTTGTTCCTCATCTTCTTCCTCCCTCTGTCCTTTCCCCTTCATCCTCCTCTTTTGGAAGAATCTCCTCAATTGTAGCCCAGGCTGGCCTCAAACTCATGAGTGATGTTCCTGCCTCAGACTCCCAAGTGCAATGAGTTCAGGCATAATCCACCACTGTGGCTATATTTTCTTATCTCTAAAACTAGAGAACACATTAGTTCTAGACTACCTTATCATGTGTGGTGGTTAGTTTTAACTGTCAACTTGCACAACCCAAAATCACCTTGGAAGACTTGAATTTATATACATATATATGGATTATATATTTATGGAGAGGGAGAGAGATAACACAGAGATCCTTTTCCTTAGCCTCTTAATTACATATAAGATTACAGTCATGATGTTGAGACAGACTGCTGAAGTCAAGGCTACCAATGATAGATCAGAAAGAGGAGACAGGGCCCGTGAGATGGCTCAGCAGGTAAGGTAGGGACCTGCTGCCATGCCTGACAACCTGAGTTTGATCCCCAGGACCCACAGAGTGGAAAGAGGGATAACACTCCTGAAAGTTGTCCTCTGACCTCGCTATCACACACACAATACACACACACACACACACACACACACACACACGCACGCACGCACGCACGCACATACACACACACAGAGAGAGAGAAATATATGTCATTTTCAAAGGAAAAAAGAAAAAACAATCTTTAAAATATTTTCTCAAAATGACAAGATTTATCATTTTCTAGATTTTAGGACAAGATAATATATTGATGTTCTAAATATTAATACCATTAATTTTTTTTGGTTTTTCGAAACAGGGTTTCTCTGTGGCTTTGGAGGCTGTCCTGGAACTAGCTCCTGTAGACCAGGCTGGTCTCTAACTCACAAAGATCCGCCTGCCTCTGTCTCCGAGTGCTGGGATTAAAGGCGTGTGTCACCAACGCCTGGCAATAGCATTAATTAGTAATACTAGCATATTAATCATTATGTTTATATTACCTTGTCCTAAAGAAGATTTGTGAATGTGATTGATACAACTTCAGATGAGTTTCTACAAAAGTCCTATGCCATTCTGCTGTATATGAGCCAGACCATGAAGCCATGTGGAATGTTCAGTGATCTGTGAGTCCAGTTTACGACTATTTCCTGGTTGGCCTTATTTCCTTTACTATCTGGAGATAACATCTTCCCAGCCATCCAACTGAGTTCTTTGGAAAATCGAATGGATATTTATAGACAAGCCTTGTAAACTCTGACATGCTATGTCAGAAACAACTTTGGGTATTAGTCCTTGCTTTCCATCTCAGTTTGAGATAGAGCCCCATGGCTCTGTCTCTGCTGACCCCGCCCCATACAGTATATATAAAGTTAGCTATGCCTACCTCCTATTTCACCAAAGGAATACTAAGATTATAGGCACATGCCACTGCACCCTACATGCTGGGAATGTGAACTCAGGTCCTTACACTTGTGAAACAAGTGCTTTCACACACTGAGATATCTCCCCAGCCCATAGGCACTTCTCTCTATAGGGTCTCTCCAGAGTAAAAGGCCATGTTACACTGTAAGGAATTAACTAGCAACTACATATTTGACACAGGCAGAGTGTATATAGACAAGTGAATTTCACCATCCTGTCTGGACTCTGTAGAGAGCATTTTTTTTTTTTTTTTGGTTTTTCGAGACAGGGTTTCTCTGTGGCTTTGGAGTCTGTCCTGGAACTCGCTCTGTAGACCAGGCTGGCCTCGAACTCACAGAGATCCGCCTGCCTCTGCCTCCCGAGTGCTGGGATTAAAGGTGTGTGCCACCA